AGCTGGGCCTCCAAGTATAAGGTGGGATTCTGACTGTGGGAAATGGAATCCCAGACAAAGGTGTGGACATGAAGACACTCTTCCATAGACCTGTCCTTGGCTTAACTAACCAAAGCAGAAACCTGGGCCTCGATGCTAACCAACCTTCACCCAACCCCACCACCCCTCCTCCATGTCAGGTCTATTCAGCCTCCTACCGAGATCAGGTATTAGGGGGCACCATTTGGTCATGGACAACTTCAAGCCTCAGTTTTCTCTGGAGAATACAGAGCAGGATCCTGGGCTGAGGGCTGACACACTTGGGTTCTAGTTCTGGCCCAACCACTACTGCTTTGGGAGACCCTTCCCTTCTCTGGGCCTCAGTCTCAGAGGGTTGGCCCAAGAATCTGAAGCACATGCCAACCTGAGGGCTGCCCTCACCAAGGTAGTGCTGCACCAGCTCCTGCACTGTGTCAAACTGGGCCCTCGTGGTGATGTAGAAGCCACCTGTGTCCAGCTTGCGAATCTTGTAATGCTTCACGTGATCGCCTCTGGCCTGGTCCCAATCCCGCATGGACAGGGAGTAGGCACCTGTGGGCAGGGGTCACCTTCAGGCCTGCTTTCCTTCTCACCCCCAGCCTGAGAGCCCAGAGAGGCCCAAAAGGCTGGAGACTCTGAAGTTGGATGGTCATATCTCTTAAACCCAGTCCCAGTCTTAGCTCTGCCCTTCCAGCCCTGTCCCAATTTTGGCCCTGACCCAAGCCACACCCCACTGCTCCTAGCCCCACCCTAATGGTTAGGCCTCCCAGTGGTACAGCCCCCACCTTTGGTGGTCTCACTCTCTCGAATGAGAAAGGCCCCCCGGGGGTTGCCCGGGGAGAGCAGCTGCCTCTCTGCATCCTTTCTCCCGATCTTTCCAAAGTACCACCTGTGGGGAAGGGCCAGCCAGAGTCAGGTACACCGGGTTCAATCCCCAACTCAGCCTCCTGGGAAAAGTCACCTCGTTAGCCAAGATTTGACTTCCTCACCCAGGAAACGGGGATCATACACCTGTGTCACAGCTTGGTCGTGAGGATCACAGAGAAGGGCAACGCAGAATGCCTGGCACAGAGTAGGTGCGCGATAAAGGTTAGGCTTTTCCTCTCCACTCTCTGGGTTTCTCTTGAATTAAAATTGCTAAAATCCCAGTCACCAGTGACCTCATCAGGGTCCATCTACTACCACTCCTTCCATAGGCTCATTTTACAGATGAGGAACTTAAGGCTCGGAGAGGGGAAGTGGTCACAAGGCTGGCTGATGAGCTCTACCTGAAATCCTCTGCCCCCACCCTACTTCTCTTCCCACTAAGATTCCTCTCCCTGCACCCACCTCAAATACTCTCCTCATTTGGCTTTGGAACAACACCCTTTCCTGCTTCTCTTCCTCTCCTTTTGACTGCTCCTGTCACAAAGTAGCCCTGACTGCTACTTTTCCTTCACTCTCTTACATTTGGATGTTGTTCTAAGTCTTAACTGCAGCCTCAGACCGCAAGCATTCCTGCTGTCTCTTGGATAGTCTTCCTGGGCCAGAATTGTAGCCTTAAACCAATTGTGAGAGTATACTCAGGGACCATAGAACACTCAGATGTCATTTGCTCACTAACTTGGCCAGTGATCATCTTGGGCTGAATTAAAAGGAGCATAGTTTTCAGATCAAGGGAGGTGGCAGCCTCAGTGAACTCTGGGACTGTCAATCCATCCCAGGGTTCTAGGCACAATTTGGGGTACAGGGGAATTAGCAAGTAGAGTGTCCAGGAGGGCAGGCAGGGTGGAGAAGGAGAAACTGTTGAAGGACTGTGTAGAGCACATTCCCAAGTGTTTTCAATGCCCTGCCCCTACCCACACCCATGTCATTAGCTAGTTCCTTAGTAGTTAACATAGTGGGAAGGGTACAGCTCAGTAGTAGAGTGCATGCCCAGCAGGCAGGAGGTCCTGGGCTCAATCCCCAGTATATTCATTTAAAAAAATAAACTAGTAAACCTAACCACTTGCCCTCCCAAAAAAAGTTGAAAAAAAATAACAGCACCTATTTTGTGTCAGCCTCTAGTGTAATACATATATTCATTTAATTTTTATAACAACGCAGTGAAGTAAGTACTATTATTAACCCCCACTAGACAGATGAGGAAATTGAAATACCTAGTGGTTAAGCAGCTTACCCAGGGCCACACGGCTCTTAAACTGTGCTGCCAGAATAGGCACCCAAGCTGTCTGCTCTCAGTCCTGCACCCTTAACCATGACACAGTTCTTAACCACGACGCTGCAGAGTGCCTCTCAGAGCTTCATGACACTGACTCTGAGATGTGGCCATGAGCATGTACCCCCAACCTCTCACCTTCTGCATCATCCCCCATCCTCTCCTCCACACCTCCTGCCACCTCCCCAGATGATGGCCTCGTCTCCTTTGAGCTCTGGACCCCGTCTACTCCCCTCTGCTCAGGAACACCTCTTCCCAGCATCCAGCCTCTGTCTGCAGCCTCTCCATCCCACCAACTTCCAAATAGGCCCACATTTCTTCCCTCTCCAAAGGAAACTGTTCTAAGCCCTATCTTGCCATCAACATTCTGCTGTATCTCTCACCTTCCTTCACTTGAAAAAGCACTTCACACTTGGGTCTCTACATCCTCACCTCCCACTCCCTCTCAGGCTCTGCTGTCTGGCCTCCGCCCCCACGTCACTCAGAGAGATCTCTCACCAAGGTCACCCTCATTGCCAAATCCAGTGGCAGCCTCTGTCACTCCCTCTCTTGTTTCCTGAAACCTCCCCTCCACCCTCTTGGCTTCTCTGACTTGGCCTGGCCTGGTTTTCTAACAGCGCCTTCTTCAAGGGCAGCTTTTTCCAAAGTTAGGTCCTAGGGCCAGTCTCTTTCTCCCTCTCCCTCTCTTCCCTTCCCTCTCTTATGCAGCCTTAAGTATCATCTCCACTCTGAAGAGTCCTGAATTTCCACCCCAGCCCAGGTATGCCCTCTGTAAGAGCCACAGCAAACCAACTAAGGAGTCTTTGTGCCAGTTAGGAAAAGGGGCCCCTTCTTGTGGGCTAATTCAGAGGCATGGCTTGACAGGGGCTGGGCATCTCTCATACAGAGTACAACCTGATCTGATTGCTGGCCATCTCATCCGTGTGTGTGTTCCTCTCCATGAATTCAACCTAACAAGCCCCCCAGGTACCTGTACCTGCTCCTGTGCTCCCCCCTTTAGCAAATGGCAGCCACTCAGTTCCTCAAGAAGACTTTGGGTCACCCTAGATTCTTACCATGCTCCAGAGCCCAATGGTAAATCAAGCACTAAGTCCTGGGAGTCCCACTCCCACTCTGCAGTCTCTCCAATCTTTTATTTCCCCATATATGTATGTGTATGTGAGGCTAGATAAAAAAAGATTTTATAAGCCTTGGTTTCCTCGTCTGTAAAATGGGACAATAATAACATCAAGAGTGTTATTATGAGAATTAAATGAATCAAGGTAGGTAAATTACTGTCAGTATCTCAAGTCTATCAAGCTACTCCATAAATGATACTTCCCTGACTCCTTAATAGAATTAATTCAAAGTAATGGCCCCTTACATCTGTTTAGCCTTTTACACTGTTTTAAAGCTCATACACTGTTGTTATCACTCAGAGGCTATATATATATATATATATATATATATATATATATATATATATATATATATATATATGCTTTGAAAATCCAGCCAGACTACCTGGGTTCAAATACCAACTCCGCCTACTTCTAGCCATGCGAACTTGGGCAGGATATTTAATTTCTCTGTGCCTCAGTTTCCTCATTTGTAAAACAGGATAGTATTAGTTCCTAACTTCGTTAATACACAGAAAGCACTTTGAATAGTGCCCAGAACATAGTACGTGCTAGATAAGTATTACCTACTATTATTATCATCATTATTATCTTCCTTTATTCTCACAATGACCTTATAGAATTATAGATAAGAAGTCAGGCTTAGAGGGGAGTGACTTGCCCAAGAGGTGGCCTCGAGGCTGGACGCCAGGGTCCTGTCTGTAATGGCCTCCCTCAGGCGCTACTTACTCTTCTGCCTGGATGGAGTCCACAGGGGCCACGTAGTTGCTGGGAATGTAGCCAGTTTGTCCGGAGCTGAGGGACCGAGCCTCCCACCAGTCACCCTCACTGCGGGCACAGAACAGGGTGTGTCACTGGCAACCCAGCCCCTGGGGCACTGTGAGGCCAGGCAGGGCCACATGGAGGATCAGTTGGACACTGGCCCTGCCAACGCCTTATCTTGGACACACCCCACCCCCAGGCTTTTGTCTGTTCTGCTCCCAGACACTGTGGCTGCTCTGTGGGCTGTTCCCTGCAGAAGCAATATATTTGGGGCCCTCTGGGCCTCCTGGCATTCTTTTCTGTCTCCTCAGCTTGGATGGGGTTTGAGAAGGCAGTGGATAGCTAACTAGGTCACTTCCTCTCTGAAAACCCCTCCAATGGCTATATTTCCTTCTTGAAAAAATCCAGACTCCTCAACATGGTTTAAAAAGCCCTGAAGAACCTGCTCGCACCTAACTGTCTGCATTCTGCTCTGTCTGTTCTGCACTCCATATTTTATGACCCTGATACACAGAACCACTTGATGGTTTCCAGAAGACATTTAGTCTCATTCTTGCTCACTTTCTCTTCCCCTCTTCTCCCTTCTTCCTTCAATGTCTATTCATTTTTCTAGTCTCAGCTTAGAAATCACCTCCTCCAGGAAGCCTGCCCTGATCACCACCAGTCTGCAGACCATGTTTGGTGTGCTTTCTGTGCCCATAGTTCCTCATGCTCCCCTTACATAGTAGCAGTCACCCAGGGTTGTTATTGTCATGTGTCCATCCCCAACTAGGCTAGAGCTTTCTGAGAACAGGGACCAGGTAGGGATTCCTTTCTGAGTCCTGCTCCTAGCCCAGGCTATGCCCTGAGCTGGGTGGCCCGGTCACTTACATGTTGTTCAGGATGTGGAATTTCTCGCCCTTAGTGAAGGTGAGGTCATCCTCTGTCCGGGCCTCATAGTCATAAAGGGCGATGAACAAAGTCACCCCAGTTCCTGCAGAGTCAGGGCTACTCATCAGAGGATGGAATGGGGGCACCATTGGGGCTGCACCCCCAGAATCCTGTTCCCCAGCCAGGGGCTGTGCCTCCCCACTGCTGCAGTGCCCTGGATGCCAAAGTTCTTTGGAATCCAGTGGATTTCTGATTTGGACCCCATGGAGTTTAGGACACACACCTTCAAGCCCATCCCTTCTACCCTGGGGACACCTGGGGTAGTTGCTTCTCTTCTCCCCCACTGGGCAGACTTCCCACTTGCATCTGTCACCAAGGCCCCTCTCTCAGACTGGGAACAGCTACGTCTCCCCCTCAGACTGCAGTTTCTGAGGGGAGGGCTGTACATATTCCCTCAGACTGTGCGCTCAAAGCAGGGCTGTCTCCTATGTCATCCTGGAGGCTCCTAAGGACAAGTCCAAGTTTTCCCTTCCCCTAGGTCCTCCCTGGCACTTGGCAGTGCATGCCTCCAGCCCACTGGACTCACCTGAGATGCCTCTGATATTGCCCCCATCCAGGAAGGAGGGGTTGGCAGGCTGAGGGGAGAAGTTGTTGTAGTTGGGGATATGGGCAAAGGAGGATGTTGGTCGGCCCTGAGTAGGGTCAGGGCCATAGCGGTCTGCAGCCCCGTAGGCCCTGAAGTCCCCTTCCAGGTCACCATCCTCCTTGGGCCCTGGCTCCAACTTCTTGCAGAACACACAGCCCATTCCAGGTTCCCTGCTGCAGAACGGGGGCATGCTTCACTCAGTGTCCCTGTGAGATGCACCACCCTATACACACAGGCATGCACACTTGCGCGCGCACGCGCACACACACACACACACACAGAGGCATGCAGCTTCTCCTCTTAGGCCTGGAGTAGTGGGGCGGTGGAGAGGGTGGGGTCCTCCCTAGTGAGGCTTAAGGTTGGACAGGGCTACCGTTGCATCTAATTCCCAGCTGCCTCGGTGTGTGTGTAGAGAGTACGTCTAACTTCCACGGGGCTGGTTTCCTGCTTCAGGCGTTTGCTGTGTTTATTTAAATATTTTTGCCTCCTATTGCTTCAATGTGCTGAGTTTCCATGACTCCTTCAGAGTCCTTGTGTGTGTGTATTTTTTGTGGATCTCTAAGTATTTGTGAGTTAGCTTGTCAGTGTGTCTTTGGGTATGTTTGTGCAGCCCTTTGTGAATGTCTGTGTCTGTGTGTGTATATGTGTGAACATGTTTCTTGCATGTGATGACTGTGTGTGTTCATGTCTGTCTGTATGTGTTTCTGTGTGAGTGTGCATGTGTATGCCTCTATGTGTGTGGGTGTCTAACTCTGTGCATGGGGGTCTGTGTGAGCAGGTGCCTCTGTGTCTGCATGCCATGATCGTGTGCATAGCCCTGTGTGGGAGTACATATGCCAGTCTGTGTGCGTGTATCTGTGCAGGTCTGTGTAAGTGTGTGAATGTCTCTGTGCATCCAAGTCTCTGTGTGTGTGCATGTCTGTGTCTTGGCGGGTGTTTGTGTGTGAATGTGCGTGAGGGCTGTGTGCCTGCACCTGGATATTCCCTGCAGAGGGGGATCAAGGCCATTTCCTGTCGTGGGTCCAGCCTCTGGCCTTTCAAGCTGCCTCATTCTGGCTCCCCCATCTGTTACCTAGCAACAGGGCCCTTGTAGGAGGAGGGGGCTGTGCGGAATTGTGGGGTCCAGGAAGGCCCCCCACCCTGATTCCTGACCCTGAAAGCCCTCAGTCCCCACTCCCCTCAACTCACCCCTGAGGCCCCTACTCCTGGGTCAGTGGGGCTGTGGCATGGTCCTTGGGAGGGGCCAGAGTCCTGAGGGTGAAACAGAAGGACACGGAAGATGAAGTCTCTGCCAGTGTTCCTGCACCCAGCTGCCAGCTCCTGTCCTCTTCAGGAAGCCAGAGGCCTGGGCTCTGCCCCAGCGTGACTTCTGCCTCCATTTTTCTTCCCACCACCCCGGCACACTTATACAGCCACCATGACACAGGACATACCACTCACATAGACCTTCTCACACTCATATCCATCTGACACACCAGCACACACACAGTCACGCATACACCAGCACACAGTCACACATGTTTGTGAGTGTGCTCACTGGCACCACCACAACCAACACAGCTAAGTCTTGCACGAGTCCAAGCTCTGATAACAGTAACACACACGCACACACACGCACACAGGCTGCCTCTCAGGCTAACAGACTCGTACCCTCACAAACTCATGTTTTTGTGTTAGACCCATCTCTCTAATTGGATTCCTATCAAGCCCTGTTCAGTTCACCCATAGGCCTCTGAGCACTGTCTCCTAAAAACAAGCCCTTCCTCCAGGTGCTGCCTCTGCTCCCATCCTGGGCTGGGTAAACCCCAGCAGCCCCAGGGTGGTGGCAGAGTGAAGGTGGACACCTACCTTCAGAGCTTGGTCTTATCCCCACATCAGGGAAATGCCCCAGTCAGAAGCCAGGTCCACCAGGGGCCCTTGGGGAGCCCTCCAGGGAGCCAAGCCTTTCCTGTAGCTGTGTCCTCTGAGTGATAGGGCAGGCAGGTCATTGGGCAAGGGCTTTCCACGCCCCGCCAGAAACTCTGCCATTGCACCACTCAGAGAGGAACTGCGGGGGAGAGGGCTCGGTTTCCTAAGATGTGAAAGGAATGAAGAGTTGTAGGGTGGGGCCAACCCAGTGAACCCTGATTTCCCCCAGAGGGACCCAGGGATCCTTGGAGCAGGTGCCCGCACCTTGACCTTCTCAAGCTCAAAGTCCAGTTCCCTTTATGGATATCTTCCTCCTCTTCTCTGTGGTCCTGTCCCTCCTACCCAGCACCACTCACCTCTTCCAGGAAGCCTTCCTGGATCCACCAGGTCCAGCTGCCTAGCCAATGGCTCTGTCACATCAGTGCCCTGACCACTAGTCTAGACCTGCCAGCCCATCTCATGGTCCACTGTAACTATTCTCCTGTGTGTGTGGTGGGGGTGACACCCATGTGGTAAACTGCAAGGCGGGCTGTGGTGAGAGCTCTAAAATAGCCCCTGTTCACTAAGCCATTGCGGAGATCTTCACCCCAGGACACCTCCCCTGGGGTGAAACCACTGTCTGAAGGGCTCCAGGGTGCTACCAGGCTGATTAGCTTCAGGGAGAGAATAGAGGTGGAGGTGGGGGGCATCCAGAGCTAAGAGAAGGGATCTGGGGCCCTGAGGGGACAGATGGAAGTAAGAGGAAAACACTGGTGACATACTGAGAATGGAGGTCTTCTCACAGGAAGACACATGCACATCTCAAATGGCGCAGCCCTCCTCCCAGGCCCACACAGCCCTCCTGACGCAATCTCAGACAGACACGTCACCTCAGCTACACACAGCGCCTCACAGAGAGACTTGAGCTCCTCTGTACAGATTCACAGACACAGACATCTTCAAGGACACCAACGCCCCCATATATGCATACCTTCGGCCCTCGCCCACCTCACCCCCTCCACACACACAGCCTCTCCCAAAGAATAGCATGTGGAGAATTATAATACTCCCTCTGTGCCAGCCACTGAATTAAACACTTCTACATGTATCACCACATTTTATTCTCATGACAACTCCAGAAGGTAAATATCATTATTATTGAAAAGGCAACTGAGGCACAGAGAGGTTTAGAAACTTCCCCAAGGTCACACAGATGATGTATCCTGGCTTTTGGTTCCAGGATCTGAGCCACTTCTCTCCACTGCCTGGTCACAGACACATATGATTATAGCCATTCCTGCAGTCAGGCACAGGTGCCCAGTGCCCCCACAGTGAAGCCCAGAGGTATATGTAGCTCTCCCCCTGAGTCACAGACCCAAAAAGAGCTCCCCTCCACAAGACACAAACTTACACAACCTCATGGGTCCCCACAGGGATACAGTGTGGCCACTTCCAACAATACCCAGGTACATATCACCATGGTTTGAAAACCAGCCTAAGGTGAGCCCCAAATTCAGTATGCCTGGAAAGGGGTGGGGGTTCAGAAACTGTCAGCCTCTGAGAAGGAGGTGGAGGGCTCTGTGGGCTGAGCAAGAGCCCTGGCAGGGCTGCCAGTGTGGGCAGTGGAGGGGCAGGGGTGAGGGTGTAGTGACACATGGAAGTAAAAAAAAAGAGAAGAAAAAAAGTCCCTGATTTGTAGCATTTGCTAATTTCCATGGAGTAAATATTTTCACCATGGCCAATTTCAAGTTACCCAAGTGACTTCCTGAATGCTGGGCTGGAAAGAGATTCACAAAATCAGCTCCCCAGAGCCGGTGCTAGCTGGCTCCAGCACATCCCTGCCAGAAAGAAGCAAAGAGAAAGAGACAAATAGAGGCAGAAATGAGAGGTAGAGAGAGAGCAACAGAGAGACAGAGACAGAAAAAGAGAAAGGCAGAGACGAAGACAGAGTCAGAGACAGAGAACCAGAGAGACAAAGAGAAAAAACAGAAAGGGAGCAGGTAAGGGCCTCTCTGCTCGGCATCTGAGTGAAAATAGCCCCTGGGACTCTTTATCCTGTCCAGCTCTGACCTCAACTATGAGCCACCAATTCCTTGGGCAGTAATTTGACTTCCTAGAGGTCTGGGTGGCAATAACTATTAGTTTTCAAATGCTAATTTATTGAACACCTACTCACTGCCTGGCATTGTGCCAAGCAATTCCCATGACTGATCTCATTTAGTGACCCTATGAGGTAGGTTTTATTATTACCCCTATTTCACAGATAAGGAAACTGAGTCACAGAATTTTAAATAACTTCCCTAAGATTACATGCACAGCAAGTAAGGGGAAGATAAATGCAACCCCAGTCAATTTGGCTCCAAAGCCCGTCATAAGCGCTGTTGTATTTTGAAGACCTCGTGAAAGCAGTGATTTATGTACCTTAATGAGACCTGCAGTGTGCCAGGTCCTGTGCTCCATGCTCTAAATCCTTCCTCATTACAGTCCAGAAAGGGGAAGTGACCTGCCCAGGGTCTCTCAGGCGATCACTGATTTTCATAGTTCTTAGAACCTGAATGCAGGTCTCTGTTTTTTCTCAGCGCTGAACTAAGCTGCCTGCTAACCCCAGAAAGGGAGCAGCTCAGAGAGTGGCCAAAAGCATTCTGGTCACTGTAGGGACTGAGTCTGTTAATGAATATGTGGTTGAACATCTGGTTGACAGGTGTTGGCTTCCAGAGTCTCATCTGGGTCAAAATCAGATTATAGAGGTCCAGTCCTGGATCATGGTGTTTCTGTCTTCAGCATCTCCCTCTGTGAGGCCCTACCCAGCTCTGGGGCCTTGGATGAATAACATGAGCCCGCTGAACCTCAGTTTTTGCATCTGTAACTTCTGTTCAGTTGTTGGGAAGGCTTGAAGAGATATGGCTCTTGCCCAGTGTGGCTAAGTGAGGCTGAGAACCAGAAACAGCAAAGCTAGAATGGCCCCCAGGGACCATTTACCAGTCCACCCCAAATTGTGTGTAGGGAGGGAGTGACCTGCTGGAGGTCAAACAGTCAGACAAGGGATTCAAACCCAGGACTAATAATTCAGGTCCAGAGTTCTGTTCCTGGCTATGTTCTCTGAAGCCTGAGCAGCAGGTCATGCTGTCTCTGACTGGTGAACGTCATATTTCCTACCCAGCCCCTGGCCAACTGCACACACCACCAGTGTCACGTGGCAGCTGGCCACCCAGCAGGGAAACTGCTTCCCTCCCACTTCAACTCCTAGACATAGGAGCGCCAGGCCCACCCATCATTTCTTGAGGTCCATTCTTGCCAAAGCCACGTTGGGGCTTTGATGTAGACACAGGATGTCCTATTTCCCCCAAGCCCCACCAAAGATCTGTGGGATCTGAAGACAGATTTCAGCTCAAATTCTACCCAGCCTGACAACCAGCTTGAGACATTGGGCAAGTTCCCTTCTCTCTAAGCAGCAGTTTTTTGCCTAGAAAATAGGAATATAAATCTCTATCTCATGGGGTCGCTTCTGTGCAAGAATTTCAGTCAAGCCCCTGAAAGCACCCAGCACACAGTAGGTGCTCAGTGAACTTTCACTTCTGCTCCTTTCCTTTGAGGAAGCCCCCTCCGAGGCCAAGGCTGGGGGAGGAGCAGCGACAGGGCTGAGAAGAAGAAGTATCCAGGGTGAGATGGGAGGACTGAGCTGGCCCAGTCACCCGGGGGGTTTCACCCAAAGGGAACTGGGACTGACCAGAAGCAGGAAACCACCAGCCAGCAAGAGTTCCGGCTTCTCCTCCGGACTCCGAGCTGACGAGGGGCAGGCCAGGTCTGGAGGCGCAGGTGCAAGTCTCAGCCCCAAGGCACCCCATCCCTCACTTGATCCCATGACTGAAGGCTTCCATACTTCACTGAGACCCTTCACCCTCATTGGCTCCAGCACCCTTACTGAGCCCCGGCCTCCCTCACTGAGGCCCTTACCTCTCATAGAGTGTCCAACCATCTCACACCATTCTTTCTAGAGGCCTTACCACCACCACTCTCCCTGACCCCTGAACACCCTGGGGCTGAGGAGACATACTCCTGACTACCACCCTGGTAGGGCCAGGTGTGGGGGGGGGTGAGGGGGGAGGGGCCACACAAGCTTTACCCTCCACATGGTCCTGAGGGTGTCAGTTGAATTTTCTCCACTTCCGTGAGTAATGCGGTTTCTCATCTGTTGCTGAAAACCTACCCACTAGCCTTTAAAACAGGGGTCTTGAGGGACTCGAGATTCTTGGGAGATGGGAGGCATGTGTGGTCTGGGGGGAGCTGAGGCAATAGGAGTCTAGATTCCACAGTGTAGCCAGACAGAAAGCTCCCTCCCTGGGTCTCACGTCAGCCTGGTCTGCTCTGTGCAGGAAGGGCCCTGGCTCCTCCTTCCCCAGCTCTGGGGTCCCCTTACCCATCCTCCCAAGGTCTGGCCACTTCCTTTGCCACATCAGCCCCAGGTGGCTGCAGAGAACACCCAAACACCCACACATAGGCTCACACGCTCATGCTCATTCACTCAAAGCCCAAACCATACTCACACTCTCCACCCTCACTCACTCACAGCTTCACAGCCACTGGGGAGCAGGAGCCAACCATGAAGCCCAGGAACCCCATTCCTTCTTCCACCACCCCCTCTCACCCACTCTTCTCTCCAGAGGGCTACATGGGATTTGGTAGGGATGAGAAGAGAACTTGGGCCTCAGCTCTGGCTACTTTCTTTGCCACATCAGGGACAGGATGACGTGGCCTCTGGGTCCCTACAGCTGGCCTGTCAGTCATTGACTCCCAAACCTCCATCTTCCCAACTGTGAAGTGGGAACAGAGCCCTGCTTTACCACCATCACCTTAGATGGAAGGATGCCAAAGGACTCAGGGATACTGGATGTGGAACCATGGGGATGGGGAACAGGTCTCAAATCTGTTGACTTTCCCAATATGGGGCCTCACCAGACCCACACACATTTATTTCATTGGAAGTCGACTATGCTGGTTCCTGGAGGACCTGTCAGGCTTTCAGTCTGGTTCCATGCCTTTAAGAAGGTGAAGGAGAGGCTCCCTAGGTCAGTGATAACCCAACCCCTCCAGGACACTGGGCCAAAACTGCTTTCCACATCTGATTCTCAGGACTGGGGATAAGGTAGGAGGTGGGGGCTGGGTAGGGGCAAAGATCATTTCCCACATAATTCAAATGAGGAAAATGAGGCCCAGAGAAGCCCCATAACTTGGCTAAAGTCACGCAGCAATTAAGGTCCCATTCTGGTTAAATCCCTGAGTCTGGAGATCCCCCACCCCAGGATTCCCTGAACACTGAGCATCATCGCCTTACCCCTCTGTCCGGTAGGACGACCCCGACTGAAGACCCAAAATGGGGGCGGGGGAGGGAACCAAAAGGG